TATTTTATATTGTAATTATATATATTATATTATAATATAATATAATATAATCGTAATTTTTAACAATTCACAGTAATTCAACCTCATAATTTATCAAATACTATCACATTGATTTTAGAACCAACACAACTATTATAATTATAGTTTATTAAACACTCAGCTGTTTTTTATAACAACTGCTTCTTCCTTTAGTACAATTAAAAACAATTTTTTTAAAATTTACAGCACTACCAAACTAAGCCATTGTATTTAGATTAGAATTTTAGAGTTTTGTGACTGTCTGAAATTGAGAATGTCTGTAATAGTTGAATAGAGTTAAAAGCAGAAAATCGCTCCGACAATAAGATATGGAGCTTTTTTTTTTTTTTTAAAAGATGGAATGGAATAATTCTATACCACGTAATAGTCTTAACGGATTCTCGCAAATGTGTCCTGGATGCGCAAAAAAAGAAAAAAAGAAAAATGGACTACACTTGTGTGTGGAGCCTATCTTCCCCATTTTTCAACGAAACCCCTTTACCTAACTTATCTATTTTTGTCGCTTCTTGTTGTCTAGAATCCGCTAGTTATGTCTTTTATCATCTTGTTAGCTTTCTGTATATAATTAGATATTCGATTTTCACCCAATTGACTTGGTCCTAAGGCCCCTAACAGGAAAGAAGAAAGAATAATAAAAACCTGATTAAAAAAGGATAGAAACTTTGATTTCGAGCCTTATAATATTCTACCCATGTAAGGAAAACCAATATTCTCAGGTACATAACAGTTCCTGCCGACAGTTTTACTAAATTTCCTTTACAATCCATAGCTAACACATTAATTAAGCGAGCATAATCACAAAGGGACAAAGAAACTCCAAAGTAGAAGAGTACGTAAAAAGAAAAGGAAAGAGTTGTAAACTTGCAAGAGGGGTAATTTAAACCCCTTGGATTCCTAGACTTTTAAAAGAAACATATTTACGATCAACTTGTCCCATGCAAGGGAATAAACTAAAGGTTTAGTGAATAAAGGCATTTTTCATCATCATTTCATAAGGGAGGGACAGATTATAACTTGATATGTAAAGGTATTATTTATCATGATTTCATTTCCAGTTGTAAACAGAAACATTTCCCACATTGCAGAAACATGTATCAAAATTGTTAATTTCAAGTCATAATGTTATAATTGTACGTATAGACCCCACATCTTAGATCGAAACAAACTTAGTCATTAAATGTTTGGTGAAAAATCTACATCAAGCATGCATGGTTAAAATCATTTGGTCTTCTCACGTACATTTTATCAATATAAACGTAACCATTAAAAACTCATCTATATAAATATATTGTGTGAATTTTAAAGACAGTGCTAAGAAAAGTCATTAAAAAAATTTCCCATTGCAAGATGACATAGAGATTGACATATTTATCACTCTAATTAGGTTGGCACCAATACAATCTTTCCATCTACCAGCACCTAAATTAGGGGATGATATGGCCTTAAAGTAAATTGAGGGATATATTCAAATGAAAAAAAAAAACGGAGAATAGGCACTTAGAGACGAGGAAGAGAATAAAAAAATTAAAGATTATCACTAATAGAAACGTGATCATTGAAAATTCGTTCATTTATATATATATTTTTTCTTTTTGTTTAATGACTAAAGAAAGTGTAACTAGCATTAGGTAATCCTAACAACTGGTCGCTGTTGCTTTAGCGATCAAATGTTTGACTTTTTCTACGACCAATTTCTTGGTCCTTGAGCTTTTATTTCCTTTAGCGCTAACAAGGTTATATCCTTCAAAATATTTGAATCGGTTAAATTATATATATCTGTAAAATATTTTTCTCTAACAACTGGATTCACGTGAGTGCACGTGTGTGTGTATATATAGAGCTTCAAAATGGCCGGCATTGACCTTGATTTGGAAGGTCAAAATCAATACTTGCAGCTACCTAATCTGCCTATGCGCATTAGGACTTAAGCATCTAAATAAATAGACCATTACAATGTCAATATATACCTGTTTTAATATTGAATAGGAAGAAATATTACTAAAAACCAGGATAAGATATTTGTTTCTTGTGATATTGGGAGAAGATATTGTTTGATTATGGTATCTGTTTTCTTTTCTTATGGTACACCCGGTAAGAGGTCGAGACTGAATATTAATTACATTTTCCTTCGAAACTATAGTTAATTAGTATATATAAGAAAGTTTTTACAGTAGAGCATACTAATTTATTTTACCGGCAGAAATTATATATTTATTGTTGGAATTAATTTATGTGACACGCTGTAAATTTTAAATATGAATCTGTACAGATTTAACCGTTAAAAACCTAATCTAACAATTAAAACTTACTGTTCCTACCGGTGGAGCAAACTAGCATATTCTGCTCCTGCAAAGATTCTCTATATATAAACAAACAGTGGAATGATATATTAGATGATAACCAGATTGTTTTAACATTCGTTTGTTTGACAGTACAAATACATGTGTTTATGTTCGTTTTCTTATTACAAAATATCCCTTGCTTTTCAATTTTTTTTCCTCAACTTACCTTTTATTTTTAAAAATTACGATTTGGTGCATGTTGTTGTTGTTGTTGTTATTATTATTATTATTATTATTATTATTATTTTATCATTATTATTATTTTTGTTGCAAAACCGACCCTTTATCAATTGTTTTGGTTAAACTTGGAGCGTTAAATATCATTTTTTTTTTAAAAGAAGCGTTATAGGCGTAAGTCCGTAAGAGATTGGCATATAAGGTTTTCCAGGTTTAGTTAATTTTCCAATCCATGATATCTATTTGCATAATTTAACGGATAGTATCACATTGTATCTTCAAAAACAAAAAGTTACTTGTAAAAAGAAATTATAAATAACAGGGAATATATCTTTGTAATTGATCCTTTATAATACTCTATATGCAGGCTTTTTCAAGGAACATGGCAGAATATGGTAGTTGAGAAATAATTGTGAGTACATAAATGCCAAATATTGCAATTAGGCAATTAAATCTCTAAAAGATTTGCTCACTTTTAATTAGTTAAAAGAGTTCAGGATTAGTTGATGTAGATAGCAGATAAAAAAAAAATGTGCCTTTTATGTATTTTATTTTTGGAAAATTATAACAGCAATGTATTAACAATTAACGCGTATATTTCCGAAGCGATGATTTTGGACGTCGTGAGAAAAGAAGAAAAGAGGAGGTTGTGTGCCGCCGTAGACATTTGGATAATGTGAGGAAGTCAATCACGTAACAACAACAATGTCAAATTATCAAAAAAAAAGAAAATGCCAAATAGGTAAAAACAAAATTGGTGCTCGTGTGAAAAAGAAAGGTCGAGAGAGAGTACACGAGAGAGAGAGAGAGAGAGAGAGAGAGAGAGAGAGAGAGAGAGAGAGAGTAGGATTAAGAGTTAGTAATTAAGTTGAGATCGTCTTTATATATTTAATTTATCACCTAATTAAAATTGCAGTATCATCTGAAATAAAACAATAAACGAATCCAAAAGAGAAAAGGCATCAACTTTATGAATTATGAGCCTCTGAAAAGAAGAAATTATAATAAAATGGCCATTGTTCTCTTACAATTATGTATGCGTGTGCATGCACTGGAAGGAAAATGGGAGCCAGTTAGAATCAGTGACTACTCATGCAGCTTTTTTGGGGTTCTCTTTTTTCTTGCTGTTTAATTCCAACCGGTTCTTCATTTGAATTTTTGTCTTTTAGGCGTAGAGATAATAGACCTATCAAGAGTATTTTATTAGTATAATTTTTGTCCACCATTTTTGGTGACCCCATTTTCCACTATAATGGTGTTTTTTTCATCAAAATTAACTTTAGTCCAATAATCCAAGTTGGAGTGCTTGAAAATTTTCACGTGCTTCCTTGTTCTCATTTTGTTATAAAACCAAGTTGGTGAAGAGAAGACATTTTCTGAACTCTGTTAACGAAAGAGAAAGACAATAGATGAGACAATAAATAACGCGAATCCAATGCCATGAAAAATAAATTTATACAAATTGGATATATATATATATATATTAAATTAATCGATTCCAATAATTTTAGTGAAGATAGTGTTTATAATGAGAGGACTCTATTAAGAGAAATCGCAAATACCACTCGTCGATTATTATCCTTCTAATTGTTATATATATATCGATATAGTGCATCCTAGAAAGTTGAAAGCAATGGCCAAAATTATTTCCTTTATTACCATTTCGAGTAGAATAATCTCACATTAAAAAAATTATTGTCCATTATTCTGATCTATATCTAATCTAATAAATATAAGTATTGAAACCCACAAATATTAAACTAGACACAAAATTGTTAAACCTACATATACCCTTTGGCCAGAGGTTAATTTAAACCATCTTAAATTTTCTAACCCACATGACACACAAACGAAAACCGCAAAAAGTAAATGGGTCTGAACTGCATGCTTTATATATCCTTAACGGGTTAATACAAATAACGTGAGAAATAAATGATTGAATTCTTGTCGGCCTGTTAACACACTTAGCATGTTTTATTTAGAATATATATATATAAGACTTAACTATAGTTAATACTTGTAGACAATTTATGTTATTTCTAAATATAAAAAAATATTTTTCGGTCAATTCTGTTAGTTGAGTTATGAACGGATCATAACACATTTCTTTTTCATGTCAATCCATCATAGCCTATTTAATAAACGTATTCACGTATCGTGTCGTGCTACATGTATAATTATAAATATTTTGTATCCATATTTAGATTCTTGACATATTTATCAATCGTATCTTGTTTAGACTAGCATGATATAATCGTATTAGTCCGAACATGACACACAAAAATGAATTGTCAATCTAATATAAGTGCATTGCACTCACATAATATAAGCGCATTGTGCTCACATATAGTTCTCATATTTTTAGCAAAAGAGTGATTTATGTCAATAGTATTCCTTAAATTCAGAATAGATGAACTTAATTAATTTATAGAATACGAAACAAAAGTAGTCTAGTTCAATTGCTATTGTTTTTAATATACCAAATAGAACATATTTATTGAATTTATTAAATCAACCCTGAAAAGAAACAAAAAAAATTTCCTCTTTCTCTTTCTCTTTCTAAACAAGGAGTACCGAGATGAAGAAGAAAACCCCAAAAACTTACAAAGCACAAAAATAAAAACAATAAAACAAAACAATTCAAAAGTTCATATTATGCCTCTAACAAAATCTAATCTTTATAAGATTGTGCACAAATTCCTTGCTCATGGGAAATGAATCCATATCTCAAGTGTTCAATATGCTGCCCACGGAATTCATAGTAAGGCCGATTTAGATTAGTGGTTCAATATGCTTACTTTCTGTGCTCAAGCAGGTTGTCATGATATGGCTGGTCTCCATAACTATCGTTTTTCTAAATAACGGATTCTTAAAAATAAATATGTAGTCTTTTTCCCTTTTGATTTTTTCCAATGGGTTTTCATCAGAAGGCTTTTAACGAGATATATTTGTTACAGATCTATCTATTGGTGGAAGCATTTCCGACTTTATAACTTTTTTGTCTTTCGGATTGTTATTTTTTTGTTTTCATTTTAGACTTTTTTTTTTTTTTTGTACGTTGTTCTTTTTTCTTTGTTAATAAAAGCAATGATGGGCTAATTAGTGTGGGATGGATAAGTTCGGAAGCCAATCTATAGTTGGGATGCGAATTTCAGCAATGATAATAGTTTCGTTGTGTTTTATAAATTTTTTTTGGTCAGTTATTTATTTTATTACAATCATTAGAACAATATCGTATGATTAAAATAATGACACTTCTTCTAAGTAAATATTAAAGTAATCATTAAAACACATGAGCTAGTGGCAAAAATAATACACCACATGTATCATCTGAAAACTAATCAATTGGACATCATGGTCATCTAAAAAGAAAATCACCTTTGTCGACGTAATTCCTACAGATTTTCAATTTGCATGAATATATTCATGCAGCTTATGGCAGACACATGAGTATAAATTTATTCCGCGTAAAAAAGTGGTCAATTATTTAGATGTCGCGCCAGTGAAAAAGTAAAATATTTTGATAAAAGAAAAAAAGGAAAACTCTGATGTTCTGGACCGCTTGCAAAGTCTGTTTATTTTATTATATGATGATGATCAACGTCCGCGTTACACAATACATAAACGATTGAATACATAAACAAAGTGCACTACAACTGTCAAATACATATTATAAATATACTATATAATTGAAAAAGATGGGCCCTATTTCACAAAACATTATATCAAACGCGGAGACTCGCTTTCCTTTTTTGTATCATATAATTGAGGATCTTCAATTCTCTTCCTTATTCTTGTGGGATATTCTGCTCCTTCAATTCCCTGCAAGAACAATTAGTTAAGAACTCTCTATCATAATTCATAACTTCATGTGACGCAACATGATAAAAATGTCGAGCATATCCAACGAGGTAATAGCTACTAATATTAGCTAGATCACCGCCATTTAGTACCTTGCTAACTCATTAATTACAAGTCTTTATTACCATACATAATATTAAATTTCAGGTTGCGCTCTCGAGTTAAAATACTCTTAGGGCCCGTTCGATTTACTAATTTGAGTTTTTAATTCGAGTTGAGATATGATGTTGTGTGAGAGCTTTTTACTGTAGTAAAAGAGTTAGATGTGACTGAAAGATTTTTACTGAAGTAAAAAATCTGATTATTTTTGTTGTCAAAAGTCAAATAGAATAATTTGTATGGCAAAAATAGCAAATGTAATTATGTGTAGCGTCTTGCTTAGTATCACTGTTGGCGATTAGCTAAGAGCAACCTTGCATTAAAAAGAGAATGGTAAACAGTTTTTATAATGTGCATTTTAGAGAAAAATGAAATATTATTCCACGTTGCAAAGAAGACACTTACCCAACTAGTGGACGTTACATCAAATCCATTGTCTAGTAGTGGTGGGGAGGAGGTGGTGATGAATAGGCGTAGTGGTGTACTGGAGGAGGAGGAGACTTGTACTTGTAAACCGGAGGAGGCGGTGGAGGTGATTTGTAGTGGTAGTGCTCCTTGGGCGGAGGCGGTGGTGGGGACTTGTAGTGGTAGTACTCCTTGGGTGGTGGCGGTGAGTGCCCCGGAGGAGGCGGTGGAGGGGATTTGTAGTGGTAGTGCTCCTTGGGCGGAGGCGGGGGTGGGGACTTGTAGTGGTAGTACTCCTTGGGTGGTGGCGGTGAGTGCCCCGGAGGAGGCGGTGGAGGGGATTTGTAGTGGTAGTGCTCCTTGGGCGGAGGCGGGGGTGGGGACTTGTAGTGGTAGTACTCCTTGGGTGGTGGCGGTGAGTGCCCCGGAGGAGGCGGTGGTGGGGACTTGTAGTGGTAGTGCTCCTTGGGTGGTGGCGGTGAGTGGACCGGAGGAGGCGGTGGTGGGGACTTGTAGTGGTAGTGCTCCTTGGGTGGTGGTGGTGAGTGCACCGGAGGAGGCGGTGGTGGGGACTTGTAGTGGTAGTGCTCCTTGGGAGGAGGCGGTGGTGGGGACTTGTAGTGGTAGTGCTCCTTGGGTGGTGGTGGTGAGTGCACCGGAGGAGGCGGTGGTGGGGACTTGTAGTGGTAGTGCTCCTTGGGCGGAGGCGGTGGTGGGGACTTGTAGTGGTAGTGCTCCTTGGGTGGTGGCGGTGAGTGTACCGGAGGAGGCGGTGGTGGGGACTTGTAGTGGTAGTGCTCCTTAGGTGGTGGTGGTGAGTGCACCGGAGGAGGCGGTGGTGGGGACTTGTAGTGGTAGTGCTCCTTAGGTGGTGGTGGTGAGTGCACCGGAGGAGGCGGTGGTGGGGACTTGTAGTGGTAGTGCTCCTTAGGTGGTGGTGGTGAGTGCACCGGAGGAGGCGGTGGTGGGGACTTGTAGTGGTAGTGCTCCTTGGGCGGAGGCGGCGGTGGGGACTTGTAGTGGTAGGGAGGATAAAGCGGTGGGTGGTATTTCTTGAGTGGAGGTGGAGGAGATGAGTATTGGTAGTTTGCAGTGGTTTCTGAGGGGAAGCTTAGAGAGACTAGTGTGACTAAGAGGGTGCTTATTACGAGGGCTGGTGACCCCATTTTCCCCATCTTAGAGCAGAGAATGGGTTTTTGGTACTTCCTATTGAGCAACCTTCCCTCGCTTTAAATAGCTTTGGTCTTTACCCTTAACTATAGCTAAACACAGTAAAATAACTTGATTTAATCACCTATCTTTGCAAATAAGGGATAATTTAGTTATAGAATAATTCGCATTACTAATCATAAATATTGCACATGTGAGGGCTAAAACTGTTTGAATGGGTAAATACGTTACATCATTATTTGGACCAATAATTATAATGTATATAATATATATTTCCAATGTTTATATTTAGTACGAACCAATGTTTTTCTAGGATCTTGACTTGGTTTTTGTTTTGTTTATTGGATTTTTGCTTGATTCATATGGCTGGCTAGCAGGCTGCAAAACACATGGTCAATAAGCCTTTAACGTCATTTTATTATTCATGGGGCGGCCATTGTAATTTACTTCATATGCTATTTACGCTTTTTATTTTCATGGTGTGGAAATTAACATTCTAATGTACTTAATTACTTTACGCTTTTTATTTTTTTATAGTATAAACATTGTAATTTACTTAATCAATTACTTTCAGACTTCGTTAATGGTATCATAAGGGTATCCATAAAATTCCACCGAAACTTATCCTGATAATTCAGTAATTCAAACCAAAAGCTTCGTATTTGTTATGTATTTCCATGATAAAAGCCTTGAAAATTTGTGGGGCGCCCACCTAACTTTCCATCTGATTTTCTGGATACAGGGACCAGGGCGGCTATGACTTAATTCATCTCTCTCTCTCTCTCCCTCTATTTGATCTATCACTTTGTCATATTTTCACATGCATAAATGTCTTCCCCCCCCTCCACGAAAAATTGCAATTGCTCTCTCTATCATCTCATCTGTAATATAATATAGTTCACGAACACATATGTAACTACTCGCACATATAATATTATCCGCTTTAAATCTGAGCCCACAAGATTTTATTTTAAGGTTTCACCCCAAAAGGCCTCATGTCATTAGAAAGTGGTGTCATTCCTTATAAATCAGGACTCATCTTTATCTCCAGACGATGTGTGACTGCACAACTTACATTTTCTTGGCCTTGTGCCTCAAGGGATTGATGGTTGTCACAATCACCCCTCCTCTGGCTGGGTAGAGGCTCTGATACTATATGTAACGACCCGCATCCCACCTGGTATGATATTGTCCGTTTTGGGCCTGAGTTCACACGGTTTTGCTTTAAGGCTTCACCTCAAAAGGTCTCATACTATTAGAAGGTGGCGTCATTCATTATAAATCAGGACCCATCTTCATCTCCTGGTGATGTAGGACTGCACAACTTATTCTTTCTTGACCTTGTGGAATTGATGGTTGTCATAACATAAGTGTCTTTTTATTTTGGTTGTGTTCAAAAGGCCTCATGTCATTAGAAAATGGTGTCATTCCTTATAAATCAGGACTCATCTTTATCTCCAGACGATGTGTGACTGCACAACTTACCTTTTCTTGGCATTGTGCCTCAAGGGATTGATGGTTGTCACAATCACCCCTCCTCTGGCTGGGTAGAGGCTCTGATACTATATGTAACGACCCGCATCCCACCTGGTATGATATTGTCCGTTTTGGGCCTGAGTTCACACGGTTTTGCTTTAAGGCTTCACCTCAAAAGGCCTCATACTATTAGAAGGTGGCGTCATTTATTATAAATCAGGACCCATCTTCATCTCCTGGTGATGTAGGACTGCACAACTTATTCTTTCTTGACCTCGTGGAATTGATGGTTGTCATAACATAAGTGTCTTTTTATTTTGGTTGTGTTTGTCATTTAACAAAAAGAAAGAGAAAAATATTGAAGCTGGGTGCCAAGTATTCGTAATTAGTACTGTACGTAGTTAAGGAGGGGGTTCATTTTTTTTTTTTATTTTCAGTTAGTGTGTATAAGTTGTTTCCATTGAGCTCTCAGGTTTGAGTTTCAGTAGATTAGTATTATATATGTATGTATATATATAGGCCTCGTTCGTTTCGCTGATTCGAGTTTTGCTACAGTAAAAAACTCTAATAAATAATCACATCTAATTTTTTTACTGTAATATGACTTTCCTTTGGTCTAGAAATAGAATGTGTCCAGAAAAATAAAGAATAATAGAAAAGCTTTGCAAACATGAAACAATTTCGAATCATTGAATCTTAAGTTCGATGACATTATCATACTTCGCATGCTCTAAAATAATTTTAATGTGCTCTCTCTCTCTGTTTTCTGATGACAGAGAAGGATTTTAAGTGGTTTGTAAAACGTGGGAAAACACTAGATGAAAAGAGATATTTTGATAAAACACAATGGATTTTATTTTTTTAATTATCCAAAATAAAATGAATGCGAATCTTCCCCTATAACTAGCTAGTCTTAACTAGGTCACCATCAACAATTTAATCAGTCGTTGTGTATTAATCACTAGGTTGTATAATATATGCATTGAATATATGCTATTGCTCAAAGATAAGCTATCATAGGTTCAATTTTTCAAAATATTCATGAGTTTACACGTGTATCATTACTGCGAATTAAATAAAGTTTTCAACATTTGTTTTTAACCAAGGGAAAACATCTTTTGCTCATTCACAAAAAATAAATTATAATATGTTCATAAAGAATACTTTTTTATCTTTTGGGTCAACTGCTGTCCTAAAGCCGAACTAGTAAGCTCTGCTTTTAGCTGTACATTGTGGTGGCCAGTTTTCCTCTTTTGTATTTTTCCTCGACAGTCATAATTTAGTGTTCTCGTACTAAATAAACGTTTAATTTATAAATTTAAAATCATAATTTAAAATTATTTTTATTTTATACATATTTTTTATAAAAAAAATATTATAAAAAATTATGAATTATAATTTAAAATAAAAAATAAATACAAGAAATAAACATTTTTTAACACATCTTAGATCGATGCTAATAGTATAATTAAAAAGTTGAGGTGATACATAGAGAAGTTATCAAAATCCCAAAAAATTTGCGGGTATATCTTTCAAAAAATTTGCGGGCATATATAATTTCATCAACAATCATTGAACTATATATAGTTACTTAGGAAAATACAAAATTCAACATTTTTAAAAGAATGTCCATAATTATATTAATTTGTCATATGTATACTCCATGATTGGCGGTGGTGTATTGGGTACATGGAAATTTTAACTACTCATGAGGAATCTAATGCCATGTATACGTAGGAATACAATTAAGCACGCCACTCTGTAATCAAATAACAATTTTACCATCGGAAACGTGATAATTTTAGGTGCGTTTAGAATTGATTTTTATTTGTGTTTTTAAAAAACGTTTTTACACATAATTTAAAGTACAAAAATGAAAATAATTTACAAATCATATTTGTTTAGTAAATATTTTAAAAACGAAAATAAAAACAATAAGAATGATTTTTATAAAAAAATTAAAAAACAATTGAAAGTTATTTTTCTTTTTCTGTTTTCATTTTTTAATATTTATCAACAATGTTATAATATATTAATTAATAATTATAACAAAACATGATTTCACTTATTTATTATACTCCAAACAATCTCTTAAAAAACTAATCAAATGCAATTTCAGAATTGGTTCCAGAATAATTCTCAAAACAATTTCATTTTTACTTTTGTATTAAAAACAAAATCATTTTGAAAACGTTACCCCTTATTTTCTAAGTATATTGTTTAATTACATTACAATTTATTTTAGTTATATCGTCCTTCACCGACCTAACTTTTTGTAAGCTTGCAACAAAATTTATTAAACTATTGTCCTTAATTAGGCAAACTTTTGGCTACTTCTACGGAATCAAACCCACAAGTACTTCTCATCAACCAAACTTTCATTAAGTTTTTTTCTTAAATTTAATTTGTTGCAAGCACCCGAAAAAATAAATGCATTACCTCATAAAAAAGCCAAATGAGGACTTGATTCATTACTCATTAAGTGCAAGTTGCGCAATTCACGTCTCCATACAATGATTCCACGTTTAAAAAATCAAGCACTTAGCACAATCATATACCGAACTTTATCTTCTTTTTTTCTCCTTTCTTTTCTCATTTGCTAAAAATTATTTCTCTGGTAACTTGTCGTTATTGTCTTTGCACAATAATACATAAGTGGGGCCTCCTTTGCATGTGGTCTCTCACGTGCAATGATGTTATTCTCATTTACCTATTTACAAAAAAAAAAAAAAAAAAAAAAATTACAACATAACTTTTGACTGGATCATAATGTACGAACAGAATTTAATATCTTTTGGCTGAGTGAGGTAAACCGGTTGAAATCAAAGTAATGAATTATTGAGATTTTGACAGCTTGGTAAAAAAGAGGCTAGTTAATAATAACATTCTGAATGTAATTAACAACACGTCTCAAACTCTACTTTTCAATGTTGAATCATTTGTAAACCCAAATGATTAAAAATTACTGAAACTTAATTAAAGATAGGCAATAATTTTTAGTGCCTAGCTGGATTGTGTTTGACTTAATTATTTATACAATTCAGTCAAGTTCTCCACCAGATCATTGCTTGGCTTATGCTGAATTTTTCGCAATATATACACTACCAACTCCCTAGCTATCTTTTCAGTAGAAAGTACAGCGTCAATATTAAATATATATGTGGTATGGTATACAATCATAACTTAATTTAATACACATGGATATATCGTATACGTAATATGAAAATAAGATGCTCATTATAGTGACAAATTTAATAGCTGTACTCCTCGAAACTATATTGGTTTTTATTCTTTTGGTCCTTAATTGACTGGAAAATTTTGGCAATTTAATTAATGCTTCCAAAGAAGTAAAAGTGTATGAGAGAATATTCTTGAAACAAAATGTGGGAAAGTAATGATCAAGTTTAAGTTCAAATAATTCCCTTAAAAAAAAGTTCAAGGATAGTTGAGAATTTCCCCCCCTGGTGATTTTACTATTGATCCATGGTATCTTAATTTGTTAAAGTCCCAATATATGATCAGGCTTATATATATATATATATATATTCTGATAAAATTTTATTTATCATTA